GGGACTACAACTTGCGCTCGTAGCTGAACACTTTCATGGCTCATAGCGGCGTCCGCAGCCTGCTCAGTGTCATGACGACTGGTTGCAGCGGCTGCTATGGAGCACGAGGCAGCCACATCCGAAGCAGGGGCCTCGGCTTCCCTGTCGTGCCTCGGCACCCAAGCTTCTTCCCAACTAGCGCTGGTGCCCGCACTGGCACCGGCCGTAGTCCATGGGCCCGTATTGTCGCCATGATTCCAGCTATGACCTGTCGGAATGGTGGTATCGTAATAGCTCGGAGCGTCAGCGGCAGAAGGACCCGCCGCTGCTACCTGGGGCTCGCGTACAAGATCTGGCTCCTCCGAAGGCGAAGATGGGTGAGCATCGCTGGACAGAGCAGGCTCAGGACTAGGCGGTGCATCCTCTGTGAAAAGGAGCAAGGTACAACTACCCTCAAGGTACACATCATCTCCTCTCCGGTCCCCACCTGTCGCACCAAGTACGCGTGAAGGAGGCAGAACAATCTCAAACTGTTTGGCGATACTGGGCAAGCGCACTGCTGGAAAAGTGGTAAAGACGAACCTAGGCTTATAACCCACAGGTCGAAAATCAAGCAGTACGAACACCTCTCGAGAGGGGATACGCTGAACCTCTCGCGAGTAGGGCACGCCCGTCTCCTGGATCGCCACCACAAAGGAGCACAAGTCACCGTGAACGTCCAAGTCCGAGATTGGAAAGCTACACATGGCCATAGCATTAGGGTCAATCCACAGCTGATCGGCCACGATTCGGGCGAAGGAAGAGCCAACATGATGCTGGTGCAGGAAGCAATAGCGCTGGGACCTGAACAGAACACACAAGCCTTCTCTAGTGTCGGGATACGGAAAGTACCTCAATGGCCCGTACTCGACATCTGGAAGAAAGAGAGCTTCATACCGAATCTTGGCCACCTTCTCTTCGCGGCTGGAGGTGACCGTGATGACGTCACCGTCCTGAAGGACAACAAGCGCAACCGGTGGCCATGGATTGTTGCGGCAACCAACATAAAAGAAGGGAGACTGCTCTGCACAATTGGTGAGTGGCAGGAGGTAGGCTTCAAGATCCTGGTATGGAAGTTTGCGGGGCAACACTGTCGCGAAGTACCCGCCCCCGACTCTAGTCAAATCCGCAGCCACTGCAACAAAGCCATCGCCACCTCCCATGCCTCGGATGATACTGGGGAGTCTGAGGAGACTAGCGAATCCCTGGTGCCTTTGTGGGAACAACGGAATAACTGTATCGAAGAGCCCGATAGGGACTCCCTGATGAGACTGCTGAACTATATCAAGTACAGCACGTGCCGGGTCATGGGTCCCGGGTTTGACCGCCAGGGAAACCGGCTGATAATGCGGCGTATAGACAGTAACTCCTAGCCACCCTTCTGAATCCCCCTCGCTCTCCCTGGCCTCAGCGATAGCCGTAAGCGAGACACGCGGGTCTGCCGCAAAGTCGGTGTAATCACTGGCAACTGGAGATTCAGCTTGACAGACACCTACCTGTGTAACAAGGTCATCAGGGGAAAGAAGCTGTGGTGGCGAGGGACCCGGCTCCGGCAGGTTAGCATCTCCAGGCACCTCGGACCTCGCCATGGCACGCGCCTCTGTGAGGCAAAGCGTCCACACTCCAAGTGCAACAGGGTGGACGGGGCAGGAAAGGGGTAAGGAGCAGCCCCAAGAAAGCAACGCAAGCAGAAGTGCCGAGCAGCCACGCGGGGGCCGCCGATTGCGTCGAAATCTCTCGCCTTGCCATTTGAGAACAGGAGCTGTAGTAGCCATCCTGCCCAAACACCGTACGCACCCTCTGTAGGTAGCCGCAGAAGAAACCCAAGGGCTGACGCACGGGAGCACGCAGAGTGCATTAGAAGCCGAACAAGGGCAATCGCAAGGACAGCCAGAAGGGCACGAGCCAAAGGCAGAAGGAAAGCGGCAACGCTTGTCAGAAGAAGGAGACACCACTCAGGGGTGTCCAAACCGTTGTTGCCTTTTATGCCTGGTGAAGACACTGCTATTTGCTGTGAATCGGCTCTTGCCCCAGAGCCACCGATGCAAGTATTTGGCGCACGATCACACAGCAAAACAGAAAGGCCAGGACAGAGATGCTCCTGGCGAGAGCCAGCGACACCAAGTCCACTGACATGCGACGGATAAAGAAGTCCATTGCACTGGCAGGGGCCAAGTCCCAAATGAATGGGACATAAATGGCCGGAGGAAGACAAAATCCAGGCACAACGCTGTGCAGTGTCCGGCCGCGGCAGGGCTGCAGGTGGGCGCAGAAGACAGGCGCCTCGGCGGGGGTCACCTCCGGAGAAGCCCAGCTCCGGGGAGACCGAGGAAGACAAAATCCATGCGACGAGCCTAAGCAGGTAATGGCAAGGCGCATAAGCAAAGGCTTGTCTGCCAGTCACTAGAACAAAGACTGTCGACAGATCCTCCCAAGAAACAAAAGATAAGTGAGACCCTATGCTGGCTGTACAGACATCGTCGGCGGTCTCAAGGCACTCAACCGAGACAGGCATGGAATCCCTGCTTTGCCCGAGGGACGACGGACTACTCGGAACCACAAACCCACGTGGTTCCAGGAGAGTCGGGTCCTCCAGGCAGCAAGGAGACTCCAGCCTATCCAGGGGAGATCGCATCATATCTTGGGCCTGTCCAGTCACGTAGGCTCTTCGCTGTCTTCTGAGTCGTCCGCAATCAAATGCATGCAGTTGCCCACTGGTACGCCTCCAAGTGATGTGGCAAAAGCCGCCGCATTCGACGGACCGGCCGTGGATGTCGCCAGGGCCCCTGACGAGCCAAGAAGTCCGCCTCTGGCATCCCTGGCATTGTCCCGTTCTTCCTGCTTGATCCTCTCCAGCTCCTTTTCCCTTGTCCTGGCCAGCTTGTCGGCCAGTGGCAGGGACGGGGAGTGTCCATGCGGAATAGTGGTCGGAATGTGTTTCACCGACCTGCGTTCCGGGGGGAAGCCGGCATCTCTCCCGGCGCAAGAACTGTCGGCGGGTGACTCGGCGAAGTAGCATAAGGGTTGGGCATGGTGCCATCTGTTGCTGCATGGGAAGCTCCATCCCTGCGGGGCTCCATGAAGGGATCCGGGGGCAACTCCGCGGGCAGCCCACCCATTGCTGCATATGTAGAATCCACGCCTGCTAGTCCAGGCGGCGCACCTGCTGGTGGGTGACTCATAGTGCCGGTCCCGGTCACCGCGTGCCCCGGCAGTGTCCCAAGCAGTTGCTGCATCAACTCCGGTCGAACTTGTCGAGGAAGGGCACCGTGTGGATCTTGTCTGGCCGCCGCCATGGCCTGAGACATGAAAGAGCCTGGCAGACCAGCATCGTCCTGAAAGAGCGCTGTCCAGTGGTCGTCGTCCACCGTATCCGTCACCGGCTCGATTGCTGCCGGGCCTCTTGCAAGCAGGGCAGCCACTCTCGTAGTGGCCTCCTGGCCCTGTTCCATGGCCTGGGCTTCCTCTCTGTCCAGACGCTGCATGTCCGCCTCGAAGCTCTGCCGCTGCTTCAAGAACTTGGCTTTGGCGTCCGCCGCCCAAGCCTCCCACTGCTTCTGCTTGAAGGCACGATCCTCCTTGATCTTGCGGATCTTGGTGTCGGCCTTCCGGGCAAAGTTCAGGGTTTTCTGCATCTCCTGCATCATGCGTGCAGCGACTCCCTGTGTAGTGGCGGGCGGAGGCATCTGTGAGCTGCCCGGCTCCTCTGCGTAGTCCGGATCTATCCGATCGTAGCGATCCACCGTAGCATGCCTGGGACCAGCTTGTCGCGGCGACCATGCACCACGCCAGTATCGATGCCTGCCTTGTCCACTTCCATGATCTGTCTGCTGTGCCTGGCCTCCTTGTCGCCATTTGGCTCTCTGTCCCATCAAGGTGAGGAGCTTCGATCGAAAGGAGGGCGCTGAAGCGTGATGCCTCAGCAATGCTGTCAACCCTTTCCTGGAGACCACAAGGCCGCGCCTCAAACGATCTCTGTCGCGAGACCGTAGGCGGCGGCGCCTTCTATGCCAGCTAGGGGACGCAAGGGCCGTTGTCGCACAAGGTGTGCTGGGGCAAGAGCTATCTCACTCGCTCGTGAGTGTTCTCGAGCCCTCAAAATGGTATTGGTAATTATTTAGGGTCCTATAGTATGTTCGGAGAGGTGTCAGGCACCCTTATAAAAAGGACCCTAAAAGGGACCCTTATTTAGAAAGCTACCCACGTAGAGTCTGGAAGAACGTGCTGAGTGTTTGAAGCTCGTTGAGGACTCGTCCTCGGGTTTTCGGTGGAAGAAGTCCTCAGCCTGGATTGGCTAACGGTTTCAGATCCTGAACCCTAGACTTAAGGACTCTACACCCTAAACTTAATGACTCTAGGTGCCTTAGCCCTCAAATCCTGAATCCCTCAAGCTCCGAAGGGCAAGCCGTAAGATTCACAACTCCAAAACTCTGCATGAACCTGAGGCCTAAGTCCAGAAAAAAGTCTGAGCCCTGACCAACACCAAAATCTTTGAAAGCCCCAACCCAAACCCGATCAAGCCATTACAAGACTCGGTAAACCTGTTAAGTTGTTGTGGCTTTAGTGTACTATAGAAGCCTAAATAATTACCTATACTATTTTGGGGGGTTCGTGATTATAGCTTTTGTATAATATAGCCTCAAAACCCTATTCTAATTTCTTAAGACCCTCAAATCCTAAACCCTTATAGTAGCCGTAGCCCTTTTAGGCATCCTTTTCAGACACCCCAAAACCCTATTCGAATCATTATAAGGCCCTGAATATGGAACCCCATCTTCGATCCCTTGTAGAACCCTTTAAGGGGTTTGCGGTTTAGGGTTTTGCGAAACCCGATGCTAATCATTATAAAGCCCCAAAACCCTATTCTAATTCTTAAGGCCCTTAAATCCTAAACCCTTCTAGTAGCCCTTATAGAACCCTTTAAACCCCCAAAACCCTATTCTAATCATTCTAAGGCCCCTCTAATGTAAGCACCTCCAAAGGACTGGCGCCCTGAAGAAATGATGCTCGAGGATGAAGCGGTTGGGCGCTTCACAATCAAGGCGGGGACATGTACATGGGTAGTTGTCTAAAATAGGGCCTTGGAGGGCCATTTTTATAAGGGTGGCCGTAATATTTTGGGGGACCGAAAAAGGGACCCCAATTTAGACACCTACCCACATGTTGGGACTCAGTGTTTCTAGTCACGTTGTTTTGGGGGGGGCGGTTCCACAAATCGGGATTTCATTCTGGGCCTTTTTGGTGATAACAGGCGCCCCTTGGCTTTCCAGGAAATCCTGCATAAACCTGGCGACGACTGATTTGGGGTTTAGGGCTTCCGGGGTTCGGGCACAGGGTTGCTTCGATGGGGATTTGGGGCGGTTTATGAGAGAATGAGGGTTTGGGGTCTCAGGGTTTAGGGACTGGGCTGGCCAGGTCTAAGAGGGGATCCTCTTCGCAGTGGCACCATCCTCCCAAACTCCGCACTGCCACAGTTGCCGGCTCGGCAAGGAGATCCATCATGATGAACTCCAGCTTCCAATCTTTCTTGTGGTACCGGTACTCATCGCCGTACCAACAATAGTAAGAAGCTGTCCTTTGCGCTATGATATCGATCAGAAACAGCCTTGTTCATGTTTCCCTTGCAAAACACCCTCTCAGCTCGTTCTTTTGCCCCATGCCGAGAGTTTGATCGATCTCCCTTGTAGCCGTTTTTGTCTTCAGGAGTGTCTATTCAAAGACATTTTCGGTTGACCGTAAGTATTAACCAGGAACCCGAAGCCCGAAAGCATGCAGCCAGGCATCTCTGCCCAAGGGCAAGCAGCGTTTCCAAATCCTGCGAAACCGAGACTGGCGCCAGCTGGCCGGGTGGCTCAGAACTGCTGATAAGATACGGGCCTTAACAGTTAGAGTATGCTTTGGGGGGGGGGGGGGGGGGNNTAAGGAACCCCCAAAACTCTATTCTACTTATTAAGGCGCTTACACTGGGTCCTTAGTAGCTTAGTGGGTAAATTTTGAAGCTGGTAGGGATAAGAAGGCCCCCCCCCTTAGCAAAGCAAACTTAACTTTGGAGAATTCATAATATGAACTGAACATGGGGGTAGTTTTCTAAATTAGGGTCCCTTTTTGGGCCCTTTTTATAAGGGTGCGGTACTTTTTGGTGCCAAAAAAGGGGACCCTAATTTAGAGAACGACCCATAGAAGTGCTGATGCAGCAAGCAATGACCCAAAAGAGGTCGAAGAACGGGAGCGGCCAGTGCCCAGTGGTGTCATAACTTAGTTCCCCAATACCCAACCTTTAATCTTTTTGGGTTTTTAGAATCTTTAAACTTTTTGGGTTTTTAGAATTTAGTAGTAATCTGAAAGTTTAACCTTTTATTTCCCTGGCTTATTGGGGAAGTAAGATAAACATGCTCGTGGCTACCATCCGCACAGTCTTCGTCATCAAGACCGCGGCTCTGTGCCTCTATAAATCGTGCAGCTGAGTACCTGCGTGCACGAAAGCAGAGTACTTTCGGCGTATATCTAGCCATCTATCCATCCATTATCTAGCTATCTATCCATCTACCGAACCACCTGTGCACGTGTAAGTTTGTCAAGCGTGTTCTTGCATCCTGGGTCTCCACCGGTGGCCCGACTCCTCTAAACCCCAAGGCCTAAGCATCTATCCTCACCCTTCTACTAACCTTTATAGAACTCATCTGGGGGTTTCCGAAAATCGGGGACCTTAATGTTGTACCCTAAATAGTAGGATCCCTATTATAAGGACCCCCAAATAAGGGACCCCTTATTTTCGGAAACTCCCATCTAGCAATCCTTGCGCAGGAGCATATGATCGCATAGAGGAGCCCTCAGAGCTGCGCCTTTGCCCCCTAAACCCTAAACCCTAAACCCTAAACCCTAAACCCTAAACCCTTGCTCAGATCTATCCTGAGACGCGCTACGCGGATTGCGAGGATGACGTGCCCGTGAAGGTTCCCTGTGGGGGCGCTCCCTAAGTTAGGGCTCCTTTAAGGGTTCCCTAAAGGGCTCCTTGAAGGGTCCCTTTTGGGGCTTGGGAGGGGTTTAGGGGCTTGGGGCTTCTTAGGTTTGCCTAGGAGTTGATGAGTTGATGGCAGTGTGAGAAGACGGACGTATATGGGGGGGCTTACAAAAATGGGGGACCCTAATATAGTACCCTAAATAGTAGGATCCTTATATAAGGACCCCAAAATAGGGTACTTGCTCTTATTTTCGGAAACTCCCATATGGTGTAAAAGGTTTCGACCATTTTTGCGGCCTTTCGGGTTTGTTGCACTTAGAAAGTCATAGCTTTCTACAGCGACAAGGTTTGTGAGAATGTAAGCTTCGGGGCATTGTTGTCACGAGAGAAATTCGGGGTCCTCCGAACCCCAAGTTCTAAACACCCCACGCTGAACCCAACAAACAACACTCTCGAAGCTAAAGCTTGGCAGCTAGCCTTACTTCTTTCTTCACACAGTCCATGTAGAGGTGCAGCACAACAGGATAGCATGATTCCTAAACACCCCGTGGGCTCGTGGCACCCTCACTTGAAGATCCGTGATCAGAGTAGATTGTGAATCCCAAACCCTGAACTGAAAAGACCCCGAAACCTCAGCCAAAGCCTCATCGAATTTTCATAGACGCCCTATCAGAATCTGGTAGAGCCCTTGTGCTTATAGCATCCTGAACAGACCTTACAGTTTGGAGCCCCCCGACCTTAACCTCAAGCCCGTCAGACCCCGATGCCCCCTAAACCCTAAACCCTACACAACTTGCTTCCGACAGGGACCTGATGCATCTGGCTACGACAGTGCGCTTCCTCAGAGCTTCCATTGCAGCGGCAGGGTCGGGTTTAGGGTTTAGGGTTTAGGGTCGGGGGAGTTTTTTTTTATGTCGAGGCGAGTTGTTCAAGGGACGTCGGGTTTTCGTGGGTCGCTTCACTGTTCGAAGCCCATGAATCGGGCAAAGCTGAACCCTGAACCCCGAGCCCTAAACTGAGCTGTTTTCCTTTCCGCGTCGTAGCACTTCAGCTGCCTGGGTTTAAGGGTGCTCGGATTTCAACATCCTAGCGACATGTCGGTAAGTGTAAGGTGTTTGTTGAGGTTCGTGGGTTCAGGTGCTAGGGCGTTTCGGGTATAGGACTTTGCAGCTAGGGTTGAAAGAATGTGTAAGCAAGATCCGCTAGGGCACCTTATCTTCAACCATGCGTACCGACTTCAAAACCTCTGGACTAACTAGACTGGAGAAACCCCTGAGGCTACTGGAGCATCGAGGTGCGTCGCTCTCTGCTGGGTGCAGCGGGCAAGGTTGGTCTAAGCTGTAAAACTTGGTACTACATTTCATACGCAATGACGCAGGAGCTGAGTGCAACAGACGTAGATTTCTCTAACCTGTCTAGCAGATGAGAATGACTAGACAGCTCCCGGCAAATCCAGAACCTGATTCTGGTTGGATCTTTCATGGTGGCGGACATGTCTTCCGCCGCATGAAAGCAGAAGGGACTCGTGCTAAGGATTAGCCGGTATCCTCGGTTGAGCCCTTAACGCTTCGGGCAAGAAGCCCAAACGTTCAAGGAGCCTGATGGATCCTCGGTTGGAAGGTGTCCAAACGGCGCAAGACACTTTTTGGTCACACTGCTTTTGCCGCTCATGGTTTTCAAGCGCATTAAGCAGCACGCAACAGGCATCGCCTTCACACGCGTTAAGAAGAATAAAAGAAGGCGTCGTGAAGTCAGTCGGACCTGGTGATGGCTGCAGACATGTAGCGATGCTTATGTCATGGCAACATGCCTCCCCAGACAGTGAAACCCCGAGTTCCAACGCAGGTCATGGCGTCGCGGAATGTGTTCTTCGTAGATCTCGAGCTGTGGCCAGAGGTCACCTCAGTGGTTTCCACGGAGTTCATGTTCAAGCTTGATTCATGGGTCTTCCAGCAAGTATCACTTAGGTCCCTCTTTGTTGGAGGGAGGTCTTTCTGTTTAAGATGACTGGAAAAAGGGTACCCCAATGAAACGCTGGGGAACCTAGGCTTGAGGGTTTGAGGTTGAGAACCCGAGTGCATTTTTCCGATGCTTAAAGTAACACGGAAGCTTGAAGAATCGCCCATATGCTTTGGGCTCTGCATTAGAAGTCCTATGTGACGTACCCGATATGTTCCCTAAACCCTAAACCCTAAACCCTAAACCCTAAACCCTAAATTCTTCCACTATGGAGGCCCCTATGGCCCCATGGCTCCTTAAAGCGTCAGCCCTACACGCTAGGCCAACCCTTCGAAGAACTCTGCCAGGCCTTGGGTTTAGGGTTTAGGGGTTTAGGCTTTGGGGTTTGGGGTTTGGGGTATGGGGTTTAGGGATTAGGGTTTAGGGATGGGACCCAAAACCTTAGTCTAATTCTTGAGGTCCCTACATTACCAAGGGCGACGTCTTGCACATTCTCCAGCGACAGGTCCTCTTTTTCTGAGGAGGCTGATGTGAGGTTCTCCGTGAGAGCGCGGCGCTCAAAAAAGCTGCGCGAAGCGCAGGGCAAGTCCGAGGTGGAGATCTACAGCCCTCCTCGACGAGATAGAGACTGCTCGCTTGGTCAATTCATCCACACTCCGATGCTGTCACGCGGCTGTTACCACTGGCCGACGGGGAGCGGGTTTGCACCCGCAAATCAAGTCGGGTGTCCTGTTCTTCGTAAGGGGTCAACCTTGTTTGTTGGTGAGTTGAGGTGTTGTTGTGGTGACGAGTTCTCTCAGGTAGGATTCTAGCACTTGCAGAGTCTACTTTCGGCTTCGGGCGCCTCGTCGTTGCGGCGAGAACACAGCTGCCTATTCCGAGGCACTACCCTTCAAAACCCAAACTCTAGACCCCGAACCCTGAACCCCAACTCCTTATCCCTAAACACCAAATACATCAAATCCAAGGCCTAGACTACGCACGCATACATGAAAATGATAGTCTGGAAACCTACATAAGAGTTTCAGCAGGCAAAAGGCCTCGATGGAGAAACCCTGCATAGCAGGACCCTTGCTGGGAGGATCCGTAAAGTGGGACCGCTAAAGTATAAGAAACCTTGACTTCTGTTGCTCGGGTGCAGCTGTATGCCAGGCAGCCTTGGCAGCACGCGAGGACGAGCGGAAAGCACGACCAGCCGTGAGCAAGATGAAGGCCTGAAAGTAAAGGGGGGCACCAGGTCACCACCAGCACCGCCCCAAAGTATCAACAGCCAATGAATCCGGCCCCTATACCCTAAACCCTAAACCCTAAACCCTATATTGCTTTCGGTCGCAAGGGGAAGCTTCGGTCCCCATGGGCAGCCGGTAAGATGATAGCATGCGACATGGGTGAAGGGCTTGGAAAAGGGTTTAGGGTTTAGGGTTTAGGGTTTAGGGTTTAGGCTTGAGCCCTTAACACCCAAACCCGGAACCCCTCAAATGGATACAGAGCCTGAGAAAGGGGGTTCCTTTCTTCTGGCAGGTGTCCTGGCGCAGTGTAGGCAAGCAAGAGCTATCCAAGCAGGAGCGCGGGCTCACAGGGTGTCAGAAGGGTTCATATATGTCTTGAAGAAAGGACCAGTCCGTGTCTGAAGGGATCCTTATGGTAAGGGTCCCACCTTTGTAGGAACTGCTTCTGGGGCCCCAGTCTTTGAAGCGCCCAAACAAGACCAAAGAGACCCCGTACACATCAATAAACATCAGGATCTTCTCTCCATGGCAACAGGGCGGCTCCGAGCTTTGAGATTTTGATACTGTGGGGTTGTCTGGCTTTTTGGGCGCTTCCCAAACCCTGTAAAGACCGTATACACACCCATAAGCCCGCTAGGAACCATGGAGGACTGTGCAAACCCCATAAACCGTTTATAAAGATGGAAACATTGCAACACCCCAGCAATCTGAAGCCAAAAGCCAAAAATTGGAACCCTGCCTTACAGCCTAAAGGGCTTGTTCGGTCTGGGGGTTCGGGGCTTCGGCTTTCCCAACTCGGGTTGAGGGTTAAGGGTTCAGGGTCCTACTCAAGCCTGGAATCTACATTTCGGGAAAGAGAATCTCCCGAAAACTCAAAGTGTTCGTTCTGCTTCACGAGGTCAACTTGCTCCTGAATTCCACGCTACCGCAAACCCGAACCGCCCTACAATCCTGAACTCCCAACGTTCCGAAACCGTTAAAGCCTGAAGCCCTAAAGCCCTTAGCCGAAGCCCCCAAAGACCGGAAGTCTTAAGCCCCTTGCCCTAAACCCTAAACCCCCTGAATCCCCCTACTACACCCCCAAGACTAGACCCTAGCCCTGAAAAGAGACCTCCCCCTACACGAGGAGCTCTTCGAGAATTCGCGACCGAGCTTCTTCCTCGTGGGTAGCTGGGAACCGCTGCTTGCATTTAGCTTGGGTTTAGGGTTTATGGGCTCAGGGTTCAGGTTTTTCAGTTTATTTCTTTCGCAGGCTCGTTTTAGGATATTCAGGTTTCATGGTCTTTATGGGTTTGCGTCCAGAGCTTTGGGGTTTAGGTCTTAAGGTTGCACTTCGGGCAGCGGTTTGAACAAGCGATCGAGGGTTGGAGTGGTGATAGTGATACCATAGCGATATCGGGTCATGTGTTCATACACATAATGCACCTACATATCTACGTGTATATATATATATACATGCGTACATACATACATACATACATACATACATACATACATACATACATTCATTCATACATACATATATTGTGTATGTATATATATATATATGTAGAGAGAGAGAGAGGCATATGCATGTGTGTTCGTTTGTACAGGTGCTTCAGTCTTAAGGGCTTGAAAGGTTTAGGGCTGAGAGGCTTATTTACTGGGCTTCAGGGTGTAAGGGTTGAGGCTTCTGGGCGTTTTTTGGGGTGCTAGGCAACTGTGTGTACACTGAGCTATCGGCTGTTTCTCACGGTTGAAGTTGCTAGGCAACTCGGGCGGCGCTAGGTGGAGGTTCTAGAATCAGGGTCCTTATGAGGCTGTCCCTGTAGCTCAGGTCTGCTCTCTTAAACCACAATCAGGATTTTTTCTCTAAGTTCGGGCTCAGGTGCTGGATTAAGGTTCAAGGTTTAGGTTGTTGGGTGTGTTAGTTTCGGCTTTGGGGTGTTTCGGGACTCACGGCGATGAGCCTTCCCAGGGTCCTTCTTGTAAAACGATGTAGGGGTCTGAATATTTTGTGATACTGCATATTACTCTACATGGTATTCTAGTCATTTAAGGCCGGTCTGCTACGGAAATGAATTGAGGGCTTCGGGTTTTCATTGGGTGGCAATTCCTGGCCTCTGGCTCGAAGCTTGCAGTTGGTTTCTGAGTCTTCCCCTCTCTCTGCTGAACTTCAGGATGCAATAAAGGCGATATGAGACCGCCATAGGACTCTGACATAAATTGTAGGGGCGCCTTTTACTAAAGCTGGTTTTGGGCATTGGGCTTGGAGATATTTCAGCAGGAATTGAACCGAGGGTTTGGTGCTCACCACGGGCTTCGATTTGGGATTTGGTTTGGTAACAGGGTAATTCTGCGACAGCTGAAAAAAAGGCCGAAACACCAAGCTCGAAACCCAGTATGTTCTTCCGTGAGCTGCTTGATTCAGAGTAGAAACCACCCATGAGGACTGTTGGCTGCGGCGGACAAAGATGCGTCCATGCCTCTGGTCCAGCTTGTCGGATGTGGGGGTTTCCGAAAATAGGGGACCCTAACATAGTACCCTAAATAGTGGGATCCTTATTATAAGGACCCCAAAATAAGGTACCCCCTTATTTTCGGAAACTCCCATGTGGAGCCGTGCAGCAACAACAGCAAATCACAAGCCCCATTAAGCCCATAAGACTTGCAACTGTTTGCAGGGTTTCGGGGTTGATGCTTCCTGGCTTGTGGCTGAGGTTTTGCATTGGCGTATCCTGTGTTTGCGCGCAGAGACGTGCAGCCTAAGGCCTTCCACCTGCCCTGAAGCAGAGTCTCCTAAAGCTGAGCATGACGGATTTGAACTACAGCTTTTACTGATCTGCCCAGGTCCATATTCTTGGAAGAGACAGGGCTCCAGACATGTAGAAACACCTCACAGGTTTTGAGAGGTGGCAGCTGCCAAAGAGACAACACCCGGCCACTGAGCTGAATGCTCACAAAAGCTAGGAGCTCAACCTGTTTGATTCCCGATCTACATATGGGCGGTTGTCAAAATTATGGTCCCTTTTTGGGTCCTTATTATAATACGGCACCTATTATTTAGGGTACCCCAAAAGGGACCAAAATTTTGACAACGACCCATATAGGTAGTTGAGCTCTGGGCAGTCAGCAAAGGTAGTGCTCTTGCTGTGTCCCTTCAGCTCTAGTTCGTTTGTCGAACCTGAGGCCTACACTGCAACCGAACACGTTGTCATAGTTGGGTAACATTTTACATTTTTAAGGGTACTTAAACCCAATAAGGAATATAAATGTAAATTTTTAATACTACCCCAACCATGAACTATGAACAGGTATGGAATACAGTGGGCTCCCGTGATCACAACCGGCTTGGTTGAACTTCCACACGACTAAAGCTACTTGCGTCGCGTTTTGAAGCCTTTCCAGAACCCTAGATGCGGCTTCTGGGGTCTACGTCAACAACTGGATCTTGGGATGAGGCTTCGATGGTCTGCGCCAGAGCTACGTGGGGCGGGCACCCCGTGCGCTGCGAGGCATGTGCTGGTTTTTGTTAAGGAAGTTCAAAGGATTTTCTGAAGGCCATAAAGGAAGTTTGAGTTGCCCACGTGTTCAGGTAATTTAACTTGGTTAAGGTACCATGATAAAGACAGCAGAATAGATGCGTGTTGAGCGGCGTGTTGTCTGTCTCTGCTGAGAACTTAAGCTACAAGCTCTGAGCCTGGACTTCATCTCGCGGTGCATGCCTTTGTCCCCGACACACAGACATACGCCGCCTCCTAGAAAGGGTACTCTCATTATACCCCGGCCCCTCCAAGATCGGTTAACATCCTGCAAGTTGCACCTCATACATGTGTAGTTGTCAAAATTAGGGTCCCTTTTGGGGTACCCTAAATAATAGGTGCCGTATTATAATAAGGACCCAAAAAAGGACCATAATTTTGACAACCACCCACATACACATACACGCGTATACAGAACCTCGAGGGTGCTCGAAGTCTCTGGCTCCCAGAAACCCCATAACGGTCATAACATAGAACTGTTCTAAAGAGGGTTTAGGGTTTAGGGTTTAGGGTTTAGGGTTTAGGGTTTAGGGTACCTTCTGAAGAAAGAGAGATTCGACAAGAACTTGTAGAAACTGGGATCAGGCGGCGACTTGTTCCAGATCTTGTCGAACGGGGACTGGCACCTCGGCTCATATGTCGTAGGCCGGCTTTGTAGTCATGTAGACTCCTAAACCCTAAACCCTAAACCCTAAACCCTAAGCCCTAAACCCTAAACCCTACTCGACTTCAGCCAGGATCTTCCTTCTTCTCTCTGGTGCTTAGTAGGCAGTCAGCCAAGTAGGGAGTGGGGGAATGGATCCCTATGATAGTCCCTTAAGGTCCCTTATAGTAGTCCCTATAACCCATTCCCCCATTCCCTACTAAGCACCAGACAGTCTTCCAGAGATTTTCTCCAAATCATCCTTTTGCAGGCCAGA